TGAGTTGATGGATGAGTAGCAAGGTGGCCAGCAAAGTGGGTTGATAGGCGGGCAGCAGAAGTCGGGTAGATGTCAGTGTGTGCAGGCGGGCAGGAATGAGATGGTTGACATAGTGGGGTGTGCAGGCAGCAGAACTATGAGCAAATGGCAGACAGTAGACTAAGGTGGGTGGATGGCAGGGTGGGCACAGTGGGTGGGTAGCAGGTCAGGAGACAATGGGTGGGCAGGTGGGTAGCAGGTCAGGAGACAATGAGTGGGCAGGTGGGTAGCAGGTCAGGAGACAATGGGTGGGTAGGTGGGTAGCAGGATGGGTGGCAGAGTTTAGCAGTGGGCGAGCTAACACAGGAGCTGGTCACCCCCGGTCCCTCCCTCAGACCTCACCCCCATCCCCCACACCGGACCCTCGCCTCTACGTCCCCCATTCCGCACTGGACCCTCCCTGTTACCTCCGTCCCCCATCCTGCCCCTGGACCCACCCCACTACCTCCATCCCCCACACTGGCCCCCCAACTGTACCCTCCCAACAATATCTAGATAGTGTTAATATAGAAGGCTTTTTTGCTTCCAGCTGGTGGATCAGGAGACAGACTGCCTGAGCGCCTGACAATAAACTCTTGTTGTTTACTGACTGTTTGTGACTGTGAATGGCTGATTGACTGTAAATGCCTAACCGGTTGCTACCACAAATGTGAATTTGTGACTGACTTTTGTTATGATTGCTTGTGACTGGTTTCGACTGTGAAAGCTTGACTGACTTGTGACTGTAAATGACTGGTTCGACAGCTGGCACATAAGAGGCAGTGAAGTGTTTGAAGGGAAAATCTTGAACTAGTGATACAGATATGAAAGTGTTTAAGGCGAGCAGGGGACGGTCCCTCTTAACACTCGCCTCCTTCCCCTCTCCCCCCTAGTCACCCTCCCCATACACCAATATCTCTCCTCCCTCCCTCCCTCCTCACTGTCTCCCATATGCCAACAAGTGTCCTCAGTAAAGGTAAAGTGCAGTTAAATGTTCACTTATTTTATTTATGGTTTATATTTGTACTTAATTGTTTTGTGTATGAAAACTATGAGTAGTATTCTGTATAAAATGTATTTTTAAGTTAATTTTTTGGGTGTGTGAAACAGATTTAATTCAATTTACAATTTTTCTTACAGGAAAATTTGTTTTGATTTACAAATTTTTGGTTTACGAACAGTCTCTGGGAATGGATTAAATTTGTAAACGGAGGTACCACCGTACATGGATGGTGAAATACTAAAGAAACTGTTTATGACTTTTGTGAGACCAAAATTGTAATATGTAACAGTTGCATGGTGCCCATATCTCAAGAAGCACATAAATAAATTGGAAAAGGTGCAAAGGCATGCTACAAAATGGTTTCCAGAACTGAAAAACAAATTATGAGGAGAGGCTAGAGGTGTTAAATATGCCAAGACTAGAATATAGAAGAAAACAGGTGATATGATCACCACTTGCAAAATACTAGCATTAATTAACCGAATTGACAGGAATTTCTGAAACCAGCAACTTAACCCTTCCACTGCTCAGGGGTCCTGAGGACATTTACACCCTGTGCGCAAGAAAAAAAAATTAATTTTTTTTTTTCATCTTCTAAACATGTTAATTTGTGTCCCCTGAGCACGGGAAAAATAAAAAAAGATCGTAGGCGACATATTTTGGGCGCAATTGACCGAAGAAGTCTGGCAAAAAGTTGGCGTTGACAGAGCAGTCGTCAGAGCCGGTCAGCGTCACCCCCGCTGACAGGTGGCAGTTGCCACAAAGATATTATCACTTAATTATTTCTATGTCTCTGATTGATTTTTTCTTAGTTTTTTTGCAGTAATATTATTCAATAGTGTGTATTGTAATATATTTATATAATAAAAGTGGTGAATAATCGCTATACTCAAAAGTATGGTGTGCATATTAGTGATTCAATTATGTTCATAAAACAATAAATAAATAGTTTTGCTGCTATTACAATCTATACACAGGTTATATATAAGTATCTGCATGTTTTGTTCACCATAACGAACCACTAAGTTGGTATTGAGAGTCGAAAAGCAACGAGGAGTTACCGCCACACACCAGCCAACCACTCGCTGCCACTCCCTCAACACACGCACTACACTATCTTCCCCAACAATACCATTTGTGGTGTTATTACACTATATAAAGACGTTATATATAAGTATGTATATATTTTGTTCATCACAACTGGACAGCTAAGCTGATACAATGGGGCCTCGACTTACGATGCTAATCCGTTCCCAGAGACGAATGGTAAGTCGAAATATCGTAAGTCGAAGCGATTTTTCCCATAAGAAATAAAGGGAATTGAATTAATCCGTTCCCCACCCTCCAAAATATTAACATACAAATACATTTTATACTGAATACAATGTTTTTTTCTAACTACAATAGAGTACCAAAGTTTCACTTACCTTTATGGAGGGCTCTTGATGGCATATGGAAGATGGTGATGAGGGGGAGAAGAGTTGTTACTGTTTGGAAGGGGAGTCCCCTTCCATTATCACATCAGGCAGTGATGTTTTCTCTGGGGGATGTTTTCTCTCTCCTACGTTTTGCCTGAATACCAATAGGACCTGGTTGTGGTTGTGCTTGTTTGTCTCGCTACAAATTTGTCAAGATACTTTTTTTTTTCCCTTCGTTTTAACATTTGTCTGTAATGATGCATCAGTGTCATTGAATAGGTTAAGGCAACGACCTACTGCAGCTTGATTTGGGCGAGTCGTTTCAGCAAAGGTTTGCAATTCTTCCCATGCTGCACACATTTTCTTAATTGTTGAGGAAGAGACATTCTGTACTCTTGTTACTGCTCTATGGTCATCCTTACATGGGTTTTCATATGTTGAGCCTTACCACTGACTTTCCTGGGACTCATGGCGTGATATATAATAATTACTTTAATGTTCAAAATGCAAAAATCACCACAAAAGCGGAATTTCTTATAGGCGCAATCGTCACTAAGTGGGCAGCTGTAGTAAACTGAGGCAGGTTGGCCGTGTGACAGGGAACCACGTGCTCGGTCGACCCGAACGTGTACCAACAAATATCGGAAGTCGACGACGCCATCGGATGTCGAGTCACATTTTCCGATGAAATTTACATCGTAACTCAAAATTATCGTAAGTAGGGGCAATCGTATGTCGAGGTGCACTGTATAGTTAGTTCAGGCAATAAGAGTTGTCGCTATACACACAGTCAGCTGGCGGCTCCGTCACTCATTCAAGGTCACACACACTAAACTTTCTCCCCCAACAACACTGTTTGCAGTGTTATTACACTATATACACATGTTATATATATGTTTCTACATGTTGTATGCACCGTAACTGTACACCTAAGCTTGTAGTGCGCCCAAAGAGCATAGTGGCCACCCTCTAAACAGCTAGACAAATCATGCAGACGTCACCTCCGTCACCCAAATGGCTCCTCCTAGCATAATCCTTTTGCTGTTATTACACTAATATACACATTATATATAAGTATCTACATTTGTGTTCACCATAGAGAACCACTGACCTGGTATGGTGAATGCAAACAATAACAGGTGGCCACACAGTCGGTAAACGATGCTATCTCCGTCCGTCTCTCAGCATCACTCCTCCCACTGCGCTAATTATTACAACAATCGTGCTATTATCACAACCCTGGTTATTTATATCACAGTCATGGGTCATCTGTAATATTGTCATCGCTAAATAATAACAATTATATATTTATTTTGACAGTTTTCGGCGATGCTGTGGTCACAAGCTGAACAGCAATGCTGTTCGCTCATGCTTCGTGCGCCAGCCTTGGTTGCTCCAACAGTACTGTGCCTCTCACACCTGAGAATATTGCCCCGATTTAAAAAAAAAATGGTGTCTGTTTACAAGAGCCCTGAGGAAGCTAATGTGAACCCCGTGTAGCCGCGGGCCATTTGAATTGGGCCTGGCACCCTTGGGCGTATATATACGCCATGCGCACGGTGGGACATGTTACTCAGAGCGTATATATACGCCATGCGCAGTTTAAGGGTTAATAACAAGAGGACACAGATTCAATCTAAGGAAACAAAGGTGGCAAGAAAATATTGGAAAGTTTTCTTTTGCAAACAGAGTGGTAGACAGTTGGAACAAGTTAGGTGAGAAGGTGGAGGAGGCCAAAACAATCAGTACAGTAGTTTCAAAGCATTATATGACAGTACAGTACTGGGAAGATGGGACACCACGTGGGTAGCTCTCATCCTGTAACTACGCGTGCGTAGCTCTCATCCTGTAACTACGCTTAGGTAATTACATGTGAGAAAGCACTTAAACTTTAGACCCTCTTAGAGCTCTCAAAATGTACTCTCTGGAAAGGAGATGAGAGAGAGATCATATATGTACGTGGAAAATACTGGAAGGCCAGGTCCTAAATTAGCACAGTAAACAACATAATATTGGAGCAAACTATTTGGTAGGAAATGCAGAATAGAGCTATTGAAGAGTAGAATTACCATACTGTACTTGGATCATATTAGGAGTGAGTTCAGGGAGCTGTTTTACTCCCTAAGCTCAGCCTGGGACTGGGTTTGACTCGTGATAAGTTGATCCAACAGACTGTTGCTTGGATTGGCTTGCAGGCCCATATATCCACCACAGCCCGGTTGAACTGGCAATAATTGCGGGAAACTTTCTTAAATTTTTCTTGGTCACTTGTTCAAACAATGTACAGTATTTAGGCTCAAGAGAACAATGTATGAACATCAGAGGTTCACAACTATTCAATATCCTCCCAGCAAGTATAAGAAATAATGCCTGAGCTGTTTGCTGCTAAAAGTCAGTCCAACTGGGTTGTAGTGGATTATCGTTTCTCTGCACAAGACCAGTGGACTGGTAGTTTTGTGTTGTTATCTCTAGTACAGAACCAGTGTACTGGAGAGCTGCTGAGGGTCGGCTCAGAAGTTTAAAGTTGAGTGATTGAAACTGTTAATACTGTGTGTTTACAGGTGGTGGTGGTCTTCTGATATGAACGGTCGAGACATGGATCAGGGACATGAGCTTTGCTTTATTGTCAATGCCACTCATCAGCGGGATCGCAAGACAATAAAATTTATGTCAAGGTAGGAAAATTTTAAATGAAACATTGCTCTTTCCATAATCAGAATATAATTGAAAAGTAAAATTGCATCTTGAAATTATTTGCTTGTCAAATATCAATGTTCTATAATGTGATAGATCATAGTTTATAGGTGCCATAATTTTTTTAGGGGTGGTTTCCAGCTTAAGGCAACAGACACCTGTGTACATGTATCCAATATTCCTTATGGGTACAGATGGCAAGATTTAAAAGAACTATTCAACAAAGAAGGTAAGGCATACTGTTTAATAAAATATGTATTCTATTAACTTTTGATGAAACGCCTGCTGGAAATCTTTGTTCACACTGAGGGTAGAAAGATGAGTTAAAAATTAATGTTTTCTATTTCTGGAGGGAAGCCTTTGGTGGCTCCCTGAAGCTATTTTCCTGAGATTGCTTCATAGTTAACACTTTTCTGCCATTTCCACTTGGAATTACGGGCGGTTTAGATAAGCGCTTGTCGGATCACGACGTAAATTTACGGAGCGTGTTATAGTGGGTATTTACTACTCGATCGACTTGGGATTTGTATGAATATGTTTGCCATTAAATTTTTGTTTTCTCTAATAGGCACAGTGCCTATTTGTGAAAACGGCAATGTATTGTAACTTAGAGGAGATACTATTGAGTTGGTGACACAACGAGGGTAATTGCCCACTCCACACACTCTTGTGTTGGCCGCGATCATGATTCTACATTTATATGCATATGTCTGTGTAGAGAATTTTATTCCGAACACTATACAAACAAAAAAAACGGTGTGAAACAAGTATAAACTTGAAAAAACATGAGCAAAGTAAAAACTTTTTACGCTCACGGGTACAAACACGCGTAAGATTTTATTCGCCGCAAATTTATTTGACGCTCTGTTGGCCAATTCTACCCATGTTCTTATAGAACTTTCTATTGCAAACACATTGCTATAAAAATGAAATACGTAGCTCGAGAAATAATGTCAGGACAGTGAAATAAGTATAAACTTTCAAAGCGCTGCATCACAACAGTGTCGTCGCTGCTGAAATCACGGCTAACGCTTCACCCAGTTCCCACACTCGTGCGGAACATAATTAGACATTGATAGGCATATGTCTGGGTGGGGAATTTTATTGCGAGTTCAGTGATATCAAAATAAGCGCTGTAGGATGACTGTGAGGCTGGCAACAAACGAAAGAGTATGAACATTTACTTCCTGTTTGGGTGTCACGGCGAGTCATCTTCGTGTTTATTTACTTCGTGGTGGGATAGCAAATGCTTTGGTGACATTTTATGCATATGATCTTGTAGAGAATTTTATTGCCAACACATTGATACCAAAATGAAAAACGTAGCTCGAGAATTGATGTTAGGAGCGTGAAAAGATAATACACTTTTCTGGGGGGAGCCCCGTCGGCTCCCCGGAGCTATCCCAGGCTGATATGCTAATGTCAGACTTTGGCATCAGTCATGTGTATGGAGTTCTTAGGCCTACCGGGGACCACGGCCAGAACCGGGCCCCCTCAGAGAGGCAAGGGGAGCAATGGCCTATAGAAGCCCCCATGTAGTTGGAAGCATTCTATGTCTGCCATCGACCGGAACAGGCACCCAGAAAGGTAAGCGCCCCAAAACAAACCCCTATTCTGGTTAAAATTGCTACCTAAAACCGAACTAGTGAATAGAACTCCCCAACCGAAAACAAGCAAACTAGTGTGACGTCACACACTGCCGCGCCGCTGTCTGCGCAGCTCCCCCCTCCCCGGGAGGGGGAAGGGGGAAGGGGGAGCCCCAGACCCCCCGCGCCGGCTACCCACACCTCAGTTCTTGAGGCTGATGCTATAGGCGATGGTCGTGTGCTCTGGCTCCGGTGTCGCTACTGCACTGTGCTTTGAGTGTGGTGTTAGTTTTGTGGGTGCGAGAGCCAGGAGTTATCTTCAGTACTCGGGCTGCATGCGCCTAGGGCTGCCTTCCCTAGGTGCCCTGTAAGTACTGCCCTTGGGGCTTGGGGCCACCTTCCACAGGCTCCTCGGGATCTGCCTCTGCTGGTCCGTTTTACCTTTCGGTTTTTCGGCCGCCTGTTGGGCTCTTGGGAGTTCTGTTCTCCCTTGTTACCGGCGGGTAAGAGGCAGTTTGCACTGGTAGGGGCGCAGGGTGCTGCTCAGCTTGTATTTCCCGACATCGCGGCCGGCTCTGTTCCTTGGGGTTCGCTGTCCTCTTGCGGGGTTTTGTTTTTCTTTTTGTTTTTGCCTGGTGGGGGGTTCTGTCATTTTATTCAGTTTGTTTGCCCTTCCACTGTTCTCCTCGGTGGCGCCCCCTGCTAGGTCCCCGTGAGTGTACACGTCCCTGGGGTTCAGCTTTAGAAGTTTGCTTGGTAGTTTTGGGCGCCGGTTTGCGGCACCCTGCCTGGGACTACCTGAGCGCGAGTCCTCTTAACCCTTAAACTGCGCAACGCGCCTGCAGGCTCACGTCTGGTTTGCGCAACGCGCCTCCGGGTATTTGTATTTTTCACGTTCCATTCAAAACTCCCGCGGCTACATGGGGTTCACATCAGCTTCCTCAGGGCTCTTGTAAACAGACGCCATCTTAAAAAAAAATCGTGGTCCACATTCCCGGGTGTGGGAGCCTCAGTAGTGTGTGAGCAACCAAGGCTGGCGCTCGCAGCATGAGCGCACAGCACTGCTGTTCAGCATGTGACCACAGCATCGCCTAATAATGTCAAAATATATATATAACTTGTATTATTTAGCTATGATAGTGTTATATTAGAGCCTGAGTGTGATAATGACTGGGTACAATGTTCAAATATCAGTGATTCAATGCTGTTCACGATGTTCACAGCGCTAGCCACAGCACCACAGCATTATTTCGTTCATCTAGGAATCTTCAAATGATTTCTTAGGTTCCTTTTCAAAATAAACGTGTGGTCAATTATTCATTTACAGGAATTAGTGACCAGGATTGTGATAATAGCAGGAATGTGGTTATAATTAGCGTTGTGCGTAGTATTGTGGAAGGAGGAATTTTGATGAGGGAGGGAGGGCGAGAATTGAGGAAGCCTCATTGTGTGTGTGGCTGCCACTCTTGTTTTGCTCACCATACTAGCTTAGTGGTTCGCTATGGGCAACACATATGTACATGGGTATATATAGTGTAAGAACAGCAACAGGAGAATGTTGAGAGGAGCTATTTTGGTGAGGGAGGTGACGTAATCGTAGCGTCGTCTGCTGTGTGATTTTTCATGCAGTGTATGGTGGCCACTGTACTGTTTGGACACAATACCGGCTTACTTACATAGTTCTGGTAAATAAAACATGTAGATAGGTATATAGAACATGTGTAATAAGAACTATAACAATATGGTGGGAGGAGCAATGTTGGCGAGTAAGATGTTGGAGTGAGGGAGACAGGCTGGGTGTGGCTGCTCTCACTCGAGGTGTTCTGAATGTGTTGATGGCCAAATGCTCTTGTTGGCCCATACGAGGCAGCTGCTATTGGCCCATACGAGGCAGCTGCTGTTGGCCCATACGAGGCAGCTGCTGTTGGCCCATACGAGGCAGCTGCTGTTGGCCCATACGAGGCAGCTGCTGTTGGCCCATACGAGGCAGCTGCTGTTGGCCCATACGAGGCAGCTGCTGTTGGCCCATACGAGGCAGCTGCTGTTGGCCCATACGAGGCAGCTGCTGTTGGCCCATACGAGGCAGCTGCTGTTGGCCCATACGAGGCAGCTGCTGTTGGCCCATACGAGGCAGCTGCTGTTGGCCCATACGAGGCAGCTGCTGTTGGCCCATACGAGGCAGCTGCTGTTGGCCCATACGAGGCAGCTGCTGTTGGCCCATACGAGGCAGCTGCTGTTGGCCCATACGAGGCAGCTGCTGTTGGCCCATACGAGGCAGCTGCTGTTGGCCCATACGAGGCAGCTGCTGTTGGCCCATACGAGGCAGCTGCTGTTGGCCCATACGAGGCAGCTGCTGTTGGCCGATACGAGGCAGCTGCTGTTGGCCCATACGCGGCAGCTGCTATTGGCCCATACGCGGCAGCTGCTATTGGCCCATACGCGGCAGCTGCTATTGGCCCATACGCGGCAGCTGCTATTGGCCCATACGCGGCAGCTGCTATTGGCCCATACGGGGCAGCTGCTATTGGCCCATACGGGGCAGCTGCTCTTGGCCCATACGGGGCAGCTGCTATTGGCCCATACGGGGCAGCTGCTGTTGGCCCATACGAGGCAGCTGCTGTTGGCCCATACGAGGCAGCTGCTGTTGGCCCATACGAGGCAGCTGCTGTTGGCCCATACGAGGCAGCTGCTGTTGGCCCATACGAGGCAGCTGCTGTTGGCCCATACGAGGCAGCTGCTGTTGGCCCATACGAAGCAGCTGCTACGCGGTGTTCTGAATGTGTTGATGGTGAATGTATATAGTGTGTAAGTAGATTGTATATATACACAAATTAGCATGATACATAGTAAATATGTGCTGCATATGTGTACACAAGTTTCATGCACGTAACACAGTGTCTACGGACAGTACGGATGTTGTACTGCGATATTATAGTGTATGTGTTCATTATACATTGGATTGGCACATAAAAACAATGAAAATGTATTTGGAAAGGTGCGCAAAAAATGAACGAAAATATATTCGCGGCAACTCGCGCGCCCCGCCCCGAGCGCCCCACCGCCCCTGAGAGCTTACGGCACGGGCGCACGGGGAATGATGACGTCACGCCCCAACTTCCGGACCCCATAGCAGCCAAAGTAAGTACAATTTCGCCTTTTTTTTTACATACCCATACTGAGGGAAGGGTTTTTGACACTTTAAAAAGAAAAAAGAATTTTTTCCAGAGAATTTATTTCCTGCGCACTGCGGGGGTGTCACATTTGGAGGCAACGCAGTTAAGGGGTTAAAGTAAACACTCAGGACCCTGGGAATCCCCTAGGGGGCGCGTGGGTCCGATGGATGTGACCCCGGAGTCCCCACTCGCTGTGTGCGAGTTTGAGGGTTGCTCGGTCCCCTTGTCTCAGGGTGACCCTCATTGTTTTTGCCTCTGCCACGCTGCCTGTTGGGTCGGTGATACTTTCGACCCTGAGTCCTGTGAGTGTTGCTGCTTGCTTGTGACTCAATTTACCCAATCCTCTGATGATTCTATTCGGGTACAGGCGGCACGGGCGTTGCAGTCTAGGTTTCGTCTGTTGCAACGCGCTCGGTTGGTTGCTTCCCCGGATGCCCCGGGGCTGCCCCGCTTTGCTTTTCGAGACCCGG